GATGGGTAAGAAACAATCCAATAAATTAAAAATTAGTCACGCGAAACAAGAATGAACACATGTCACCTACCTTGGCCAATGTTAAATTATAACTAACTATAAGATAAATGAAGACATTTTCTAAAGAACTCGACTGAATCCTCCAGTCACACAAGCAATGGATTTTCGATAACCGGCTGAACATTAGGTATGTACACATGATCGTTCCCGAAAGTTAATTCTATTCGATAAAAGTTATCAAACGTTTGATTGCACATTATCTTTTCCCACTGCTTTAGCCTGTGTACTTGAAAACTGACTTTCTCTTTGTTGGTTAACGAGTTTTGCAGTTAAATATAGAAATCAAGAGCTTCCACAGTGGTGGTCCGGATTTAAAGAAATTATTCCGTATGGGTTGTTTTATCGTTCAGTTGTACACAACGTTGTTAACAAAACACAAGAGTAAGATTTTGTACGGCCATTCATCTTTCATTCACTGGAATAATTTTATAGGGTTTATAGAATATGTCACTAAACCTGTTTTGAAAAGCACCATCTGATGAATCTATATCTAATAGTAGCTAACAATTTTTCCTCATGCACTTCACTTTTGTTGCATGCAACTGTTCTAGTTACTGCCCTGTTCAAGTTTAGCATACATATTTTGGCGAACAAATTTTGCGTATATTTCGCATATGTCTTTAGCATTTTTGCTTTCGTTGATTGAATCCAATTATTTTTAAGTAAATATTGCAATAACTTATGCAAAATTTAAAATATGAGTGAACATAACGAAAATGAATACCCTAGTGGATATGTAGGTATGCTTCTGAAGCAATAACAATATTTTGTAATCTTCAATACATATGAGCCCATTTAAATCCTGTTACATAGCTTTGTACACTCTAATGCAAGGAAACTGAAGATAATTCTAACGCTTACAGATATTTCAGGGGCAACGTTTAAATGTTCAACCACACATTTTTTAACTGTATTAAACTGCGTAATTAAAAGTAATTAAATGTGTGGCGCGACAAAAATTATCAAGTTCGTTTTGTCACGTTTTACTTATCATTTTGAACCTTAATCAAATTTTGCATATCTGGAAGGTACAAAGTTTATTTTTTATGGTTGGCAGAATTCACTAGATTTCGTTGTTGTGCTTAGATTAGTTTCAAATCTAAGCACAAAAATGGTTATGTGTTTTAAAGATTCGCACTATCTCTGGCATCGTATCAATCTGTATTTCTATACCTACCCACAGGCGTTGCATATTGACCAGTGTTTTAAAATAATATTCGCATTTATTTCACTTTTCCTACTTTGTATCTGAAGAATATTTGTATGTTGTCTAAAGAATACATACTTAAAATAATATTTTTACAATGTGAATTTAAAAATAGACATTCATACGCTTAGTGTGCTGGGAGAAACAGTATACGCCAAATTTATTTTTTAAATGTCGACGACTTTGTATTCATTCCATGTCTCAATTAAACAGTGCCAACGCCAAACATGTAGAGTTTTAACTCCATGGATTTGGTCCAATATTATTTATATGTTTAATATATTCAGAGATTGTTGTCGTACTGTTCGTTAATTTTTATTTTTTATTGCGTATTTTTATTTCCTTACTTTGCTTAGCAAATAAAGTTTTTACTAGATCTTCTATTTCTTTAATAAAGTATTAAGTTTTCGGATCTTACCATACGTCACGCTCAATTTTGAAAAATGGGGCGTGAAGTTGTACACTAGCAATTCTTGATGTATTAACGTGTAAATGTATCTATTTTCCTACATTTTTTTTTTCTTATTTGCCTACATTAATTTACCTGAAATGTTAATTTCTATCACATCGTCCTATTGTCTACATCTACATCACCATAATAACATTTTCTCGTAAATTTTCAGTAATGAACTTGACCCGCAACGTTCACCTCTACACATTTAGACGAACATTACAACTACAAACACTCCGAACAGTGGGAACCATATGTTTGCGCAAGTTATTTTTTTCTATTTTAATGAAGTGGTATAATAGCAGGACGGTGTAATTTAAACACATGATTAATTTGCGTATTGTCTCTTAGTCCGTGCCAATAAGCATGTCTTTCCAGTTGCAAAAACGAATTTAAAACATTTATTCCGAGTTTGATGACTAGTGAAGCCTTCTACTTTAAAACATGATAATAATAAGTCTTGCAATGAGTAAATTTTATTCATTTTTGCAAATAAGTTGGGGCTCAACCGGCATCAATATACAAACGCAATGTTAAACACAAACTATAATTGTAATCAAAAAATTGTATATTGGAAACTTACGCACCTTACTTTCCTGTATACAACCTGATTATTTTACAGTTTCGAGTTAAGCTTCATGCGACTAACAACTTTTCCGAACTCGACTGAAGAGTCTGTTAGATACCAAGAAGACGAAATCCCAAACACTTTTCCCTCTTTCTTCCATTTTAATATTCATGAAGTAAAGCGGTTGGGCAGGTTTGCTATCACCTATGCCTATCACGAAAGCATTCATATTTCCTTAACATGGACTTTTTAGGTATACTTTAGCCAAAGAGTAGGTAATAATATAAATAATAGTAATATTTGGATATAAATAATAATTATATTTAACTACTCTTTGCATTGAATCTTCACGCATTCGTTTTCATTTTTTGATGATTCATTTTTTCAAGCTAAACTTTTCGTTGTTAGTTGTCAAATATTATGGTAAACACACAAAAAGAATAAAACCTTACAAATATTACTTCGGCTTGCTTCAGGAAATTCGAGGATATGGAACCTATGTTAATAAATACATTCAAAGTGTTTTGCAAGATTTCAATACCACGTTTTATAGAACCCAAAAAAATGGCAAAAAGATTGTTTTATTAATTGAACTATTGAATCAAAGACATTTACGAAGGCTACTTTGTGAGCCAATTTTCCTTATTACTATTTATTATGAATATGTAGCTAATTTAAGTCCAAGAGTTACTAAAAAACACTAACCTGGTGATTAAATGCACACCGACACTTACTTATCTTACGCACGGTTTCTGCTAAATAAAAGTGATTTCAGATTTTCCTTCTAAAACCCCTCCAAACTTTGAAATGGTTGGAAGCTGAAACCAGGTAGATTTCAGGCCCTTCGCTTATTGGTAAATATTTATGGTCCCCATATGGAGCATTCCTGTCATTTATCGTTAAGCAGGAAAGTTGTTAAACCTCCCAGCCTAGAGGAAATTTACCATCACCGGCTAAGTGATGTTTTTTCTTTTCAAATGTATCCTTTCTGACATGATCATAAAAAGCAATTCTGGAAAGCGGCTTTGTTTTATCTTGTCCATAGGATTTATGGGTCTTTAACTTTGCACTTATCGGCTATTTAAAGCGACACAAGACTAAAATTAAAAATCATAAACAAATTCGAACTGCTTTATTATTCAAAATTATCTTGTACATGTTTCAATATAATAGTGTAAAAATGAATCACACATCTTGAATTTTTTCATAAATTGCCCCCAAACTGGTAGCAATATAGTTCGGTTTTAGATTTTCTGGCTCTTTCCAGTCGTCCCATTGGCCTTTAGTGAAAATGCCGCTTAGTACCAAACAACTTTTGAAGCCTGAGTTTACGGCAAATGCCATATCAGATGCAATACTGAAATAAAATGAGGGTTAAAATTTGATGAGAAACAAACATGCTTTCATCCAAAAAACGAAACGTTCTATAGAAAAAATCTAAGGTTTAAAAAATTACAAACTATTATATACAGTACTTACCTATCTCCTATCATCAAAATTCGTTGGCTATCGGATATCTTCAACTTGGATTGTATAATATTTCCTAGTGCTTTTTCAGGCTTTCCTATTACTGAGGCTTTTCTATTGCTCCATCTTTCCAACGCATCTATGTTATATTTAGGACCTAAAAACAAATAATAAAAAAGTTTTTTGACAATCGTTTCCTTATTTCATTAACTTAATTTTTTTGATCTGCAAAAAACTTCTGGAAATGATGCCTGGAAGCAATTAATTATCGACATTTTAAAGAGATAAGTGCAGCACTCAACAGAAAAACGTCAAGTAGCGATTAATGAAAGAGGCTGATGATTGCAAACGAGCTCAACGATCGCAAAAGTTCCATGGAAAATATGTTTTGATATTCACCATTTACATGATAGACCGGCTGCTTCGGAGTGTTCCCTAATAGGCTTGGCATGGTTGGAAGCCAATGCAGACGAACAAGAAAGCTCTAATAAATCAAAGACAACCCATTTGGAACGATGTGAGAAATGTATTCAAATGAAGGTCGGGTTGAAAAAAAACGTAAACAAACAATGCAAACGAGCAACTATGCTTGGTAGGTGTAGCGTAATTATCTTCATGTGTTCAAAAAGCTTCTGGAACATTCGCGAATTAGTTGAAGTCCTTAAAAAAATATTTTTAATTTTTGTTTTTTATCTCGCTCAATCATATCATAAATACATTTAATGCTCTTTTTAATTTCCTCAAATGCCTTGCCCTGCCTTTGGCTGATAGGATATTTAGGTACAACTGATGAACGAAATTAATTTGAGTATGTGCTAAAAAACGTATGTGATGTGAAAACGAAGATACGAACTGGCTACCAAATAGTACTAAATACATTAACAATAAATAAAATTATTCCTTTTTATTGCAGCATTAGCGGTGTTTGCACCGTGCCTGTTATTTAAGATGCAATTAATCCTAAACTCAAAATAATTGATATTAACGAGATTTACAACAAATTATCCGCTGGACTAAATACATCCACCGCTAAAGCAACGTTAATATGAATTTTTACACATTTAGATACTTTTTAATTTGTTTTGTAGTAAGTAGTCTTTATACCTGTTAGAAACAAATTGTCCCCTATGGAACCCGTATCATCAGGACATGCAGCGAAGAATTGAACTTTCTCGATGCGATTTAAAAGGACTTGACCCACTTGCAAGGATCCGTAGCAGGTATTGAAATTCGTATCTACATATACTATTCCAACGTTTTTGCCACGATCTAAGCCTTTTAGAGATAATTCTCTAACTGATAGGACATCAGTTAGTCTCTCTTGTTGTATGCTCTAAATCAACAAMAATAAACTCTTATGTYTATATTGAGCATAAGTTACAATTATTTTATGAAAAATACAACT